AAAATCCAGTGTTGGCTAGATGATGGCAAATCCAAGTATTCCATAACTTATTATTTTTACTAAGTATTATTTCAGTGGATTATTCATACACATCTCCTTCACTCAGCAGGCATCCCATTCTTTTTGCCATCCRCCCCCTCCTTGTCTTTGACCTACTTGGTCTTCTCTGCTCTCAGACTTTTCTGGTTTTTGCTGGCGACCCTTCACATTAGTTTTTCCAGTTTTCCAGTGCTCCCCTCCACAAACAATCTGGAACTTCAAAGCACTAAGGGCGAAATGTCACTCCTCAGCCACCCAAAGGAGGCAGGACAGTGCACAGCTATTCTTAAAAAGGTTAAGGAAAGCAGAGGAGCCTTAGAGTGTCTTGTTGATGAAGTACCAACAGCAAAACTCCTATTTATCTAAGGGTTTCTTCTTTTTTTCCTCTGGCAGAAGCAGTTGGCAGCAGACTCTTTCCRAGGCCCTGACACCAGGCTGTCCACAGCAGCAAAAGAGCCTTTTTAGCCCATGTCTAGCCCTAGCCCTGCTGTCACTCATAGCTACAGCAGAAAATCTTGCTATCCAATCGCCTTTGGAACATCTCCTACTTGTAGAGGCACAAAACAGCACAGAAACTACCTGGGCTTGCATGCTGACTTTTCCTTCCAAGGCTGAAGGAATCTCATCACGTGCACGAACATAACAAACAGGTAGCTGGATCATCATGGTATTTGTTTTGCAKATTTTGTAACCCAGTTGCCTCATATGCTTCTCAGAAGTACAAGACTCAACAAAGAATTTCCTTGGGAATAAAAAAGAAAGGTGAATCATGCTAGTTCTGCATCAACCTGTGCCAACAACACAGAGTAACACACTTGAAAGCATGTTCAGTTTTCAGTTTGTAACACATTGTCGTTGGCACCTCGAACCCCATGCCAGGATAGATGGACATAAGCTGCTGCTTGACATAAATAGCAGCAATCCCATTTATTGCTTACCTGGCTCTCACTGGGGCTCTSAAATGCTTAGGAGGAAGGGAAAAAAGAGGAAAGACAAAGCCAAAAAGATTGGTGMGCAGGGAAGAAGCCAACACCAGCTTTTTTACTGACCCCTAGGACCTCGTTTCTTCAGCAGCACTGCACTGGTTCCATTCTGTCATCACTGCCACCAGGGCAATCTCACCACACCTTGCTAAAAGCTCACCTCCAGGACTGCTTACAGGCTGCAGACTCACACCAAGTCCTTCACAGCACCCTTGGTATTTCCAGTGTCACCACTAGTCCTGCACTCCTCACAAGTGCTTCCAAAGGACAGATAACGCTGTGCAAGGTACCAGGGCATTTCCAGCCAAGAAGATGCCAGATGCACAAGGTACCAGGGCATTTCCAGCCAAAGATGCCAGTGGGTCACACCACCCACTGTCTCTCCCTGCTGCTTTCCCAGTCTCAGCCATATTTTGGAAAGGCAGGACTTTCCTAGATGCACACTTTCCAGATAGTCTAACGAGCACCAAAGCCTGAGCAACAAGTGAAGAGGGTGGACCATCCATTCCAGGCACTATGCCACTAGAGAACTCCTGAATAGTACTTTCGTGAGGCACTGCTAGAGCTCTCTGAGGAGGAAAGGAAGGAAAAGAGCAAACTTTTAGGAAATTTTATTAGAAATAAGTATAATATTCAAAGTATTATTCTGTAAGAGGACCAATTAGGATGTAATTAGTATTAGTTTGCTTTGGACCCAGATGCACTAAAGTGCATTAAAATACTGTCTTTTTAGTACCATGATGGTGTGGACAGACACAGTGTACAATTATTTCACAGACACAGGTGAGCACCATGACCACCCCAGGGGCAAAAACCTGAGTTGTTGCACATCCAAGGAAGAAAAAATTGCAACTGCTGGTTGCAAAATGGGACTGCTGGTAAGAAGGACAAACACAAGGATGAGTGCGAAGACAAGAAACGAGATGAGCAGTATGAGGAACAGATGAGACCCCCTCCCCTTTTGCGAAAAGTACAAGCACCATAAAATCATGCAGCTTGACCAGTACTTATATTGCTGAGTGTAAGTATGCAAGAGTGTGCATCACAGCACACACTCTGCAAAGCTTTTATAGAYACAGGAAATGAACTGAATCATGGAAAGTGTAGTCCTCTAAAACTTTTAAAATATATCTCACACCCCTGCCCAACCCTCTTCAGAGATCAGTCTTTCATTCAGAACTAATATAAATCCAAAYGAAATTAAACTGAGTCATGAGGTAYACTATAGCCACTTCCAGATTCTTGGGATGTGTAAATGTGTGCTTATCTCACACGGCAGTGGAGTCTTATGCCAAGTGCATCAAATGCTGAGAAATACAAGGCTGATGCCTCTTCAGACCTGACTGAACTACCAAGTAAAATGGCAAGTGTGTTCTGCAAGCCATCTGCTTTTTCTGCTCAGAGAGAGTAAAAATGTTTACAGTTATTTGAAAAGCTCCTGCCCTACTAGAAACATTCCACCAAAATGCAAACATACACATTCTAAAGCACAGTTTACTTACTATGGCTACAACACAGCTTTTACAAGGTATATTGTTTATTGCAAGAGCTGAAAAAATAGCCGCACACAATTCTAAGTCATTTGAATGSTTGGGTTTTACAGGCTACAAATGGAAAGGAAATATAACCTCACCCTGTCAGATATCCAAATAGCAACAATGTCCRATTATTTCCACAGCCACAAATGCTGTAGTGAAAAGCAATCATCGTTACAGTTAGGAGAGGGAAAAAAAAAAACCAAAAAAATACCTCACCTGTAATAGAACAAAAAATTACCCAAAGTAATAGTTCCAGCTTATTGGAGCAGAACCTATTATGTCCATGTCAAGCCCTTTTCTATCTCAAATGTAATACTACTCCTGCCTCTGTAAAATTACCCTCAGTGACAGAAGAATAAGTTATACAAGCTGAGAGCATTACTAGCTGGAAAACTGTAAAACTGAAAGRGGTTCGATCTCATAGCTCACAGTGGACATTCTCATCCCAAAATCTTAAGCGTAGCGTGAAGTTATCTAGATGTCCTGGCACRGGTGAGAGGAAACTCAGGGCATGGCACACCAGTACAACTACTCCAGGCTGTGCCCCGAGCAATTCCCCACGCAAGTCCAGCACTTCATGTTAAGCTGCTCCTGACACTGCTTTTTGGACACTGCCCAAAAGTGAAGCTCCTATGGCCTCCCAGAAACTGCTCTGGCTTCAAGACAGAAAGCCAGGTAGCCAGGTTAAAAGTTTCCAGAGTTCTCTTTTTTACAAGATGCAAGATCCACACTTGTAGGCAGGCATCAGCCCAGACACATCCACCAGGAGGACGTTCAGACACAGACAACAGCAGGCAGACAAAGGCTGGACTTGGAGAACAAGCACCACTGAGACACATCACACCCACTGAAATAAATAGAGCGTGTCTAAAGGCTTCTCCAAGCTGCACTGGGTCACTCGTGGCTGCCTCTTGTTGAGACAAAGTYGGCAAAGTTTGCACTGATGCCAAAYAACCTCCATGTGGCTGTCAYGGCACTGGAGCACCAAGCTCACAGCGGATGGGGCTGGCCAYCTAAGGGCTGTAGGGACGTGGTGGCAGCTGTGGCATCAACAGGGGAAATGTGGGGACAGCAACATCCCCAGCCATCACTGATCTCTCCCTCTGGCCATGTCCTGGAGGAGTACRGAGYCCAGCTCTGCCTGGCACRGTCCTCAGCTGCCCASCTTCCCTAAGGGTTACTGTGCCCTGCTAACACTGAGCTCAATGTCCCATTAATGACACCAAATCAGAGACACTCAGATAGGAATGGGACTACTGCAAAGACATCAGCTTCTCCAATTGTCTTTTTTTTTGTTTAAAGCAGTATCTTCACACCTACATTTTAGGCATGTGCTCTTAAAACTTCTGTTGCAAACTAAAATACAGAAATGTTCTGTGACAGTCGGTATGGAAAACAAACTTCATGAAGTTCAGGTTGAAATGCATATTAATCAATTTCACCCTAGCTTCTTGAAACACACAGCTAGATTCTCATCCTGTTTAAGGTACTTTGAATTCAGTATAAGTGAAGATATTCTCACCCTAGCTGGCTTCAATAATACAAAATTTCTTCCATTAATTCAAACAATCAAGGGTAAAACTTAAACATACTTTCTTATTCACAATTTGTTTTTAAAAAATAAAATCAAGTAGGTTTATTCTGGTGTTAAGAAAAAAAAAAAATAAAAAAAAACCTCACACCCCAAAAACCACGCAAACATCCTCCAGTGACTTCTGGCCTGTTTCCAAAATCCATTAGTCAGGTACATCAAAGTCTATCACCAGAAAAACTAGGTCCGTTTTCCCCAAGCTGACAAAGAGACCAGAAGAGTACTACTATCTGTAGGGCTTTTATCAGCTCATTCAACTTCTGCCTTTATCATTTCCACCAGCTTTATTTGATCTGAATTTGCAGGCCAGAAGATCTTTACTGACAACTATAGGCAATGCACGACCTGGGCAACATCCCTGCAGCACAGAGGCAAAGGTTCAGCAGGCCAAGGTTCATTTCTGTTTACGTTTTCTGATTGCCCTTAAAAGTTACATAAAAGACTTAAAAGGTCTCTGAGAACTAAGAAAAGGATAGCAGGGAAACAAAAGCTCACAGCTATCCTATGATATTTCAAAWTTTTGCTTCAGAAAAAAAGTACATACTGGGACTGCATGCACACTGCGTATGTTCTCCAACACTCTTAAACTGCACCTTTTTTCCATTTACTACTGGGTTTTACTATTACTTGCTATGGGAATATATGTTAGAGTTAAAAATTACCAAAAGCAAAATAACAAGAGAACTCTTTCAATAAGGCAAGACAAGCTAACACCAAATGCTCTTTAAGAAAAGCATCCTGTGTCAGCATGGGCAACACACACTTCTTGTACAAGACAATCCCATCTCTCCAGTTCTGTTCATCTCCTGTTACCAGTTCCTGCAATTTAGAGGCACTGACAGATCTTACCGCTGTACAAAAGATGCAGCTGCATTCCTGAAGAGTGGTCATCCTATCCAGGGAATATTCAGAGAGACATAGCTTGCAAGTGAGGAGAGGCTCCAGAACTAAGTCGCCAGCTTCTGACTCGTCAGTTGTCATGGTGTCTGGACCAGCCTTCCCAGCAGAACCCATTCAGTCATTAATGGTCCACAGCCTGAAAAGAGAAATTGGCAGCTGAAACATCACACAAAGTCACAACTTCTATTGCCTTGAAAATTTTCACATCAGATCTTGGCACCTCAGATCCATAAGAGTACCTGCACACCCAAATGTACCATTCAATATCTTGGGACCAGTCTCAACTTCAGGTCATTCAAAATTCACAAAGAGAGCACAAYTCCTCAAAAGACCTGAACTGGCTGGATTCTCTGAGAATATTCACCTTGCTGGCACAAAGCACCTCAGTCAGGCTAATTAACATCAAAATATAGAAAAAAAACAAACAAAAAAAAAACTCACACAGATGGGGCATTACCTATGTCACATGTAACAGTATGGTGACCAGAGCCCTCACGAGAATCCTAGGAGCAGGGAACTGATTTGGGACAATAAATTGTTAATTTAAAAAGTTAACTGATTCATGAGTATATATATATATATATATATATATATATATCACTCTGCCTTTTCAAACAAGTTTCAGACTCATACTCCTCCTACCCAAATGGGATCCTTCAGTCTTCACTGCACCCACACAGTTCCAGTGAGTGTCTCCACTCCCCCTTTCTATTCCAGTTGGTGGCTTGGGAACTCCCTTAGGCAATGCAAGACAGGAACAGATTCCCACTTTCCAGACAAGCACTTCAGACATTTAGTGTGCCAATGTAGGTGGTGGGCACCACGAACTCCACCTTCTCCACAAGTTGTCCCTGAGACAGGGAGCTGGCACTCAACAGTGAGAGGGGTGGGATGGTGAAGGCATCTAAACCCAGGAAAGGGCCCCAGATTGCATGTGCTACTTTGGTTTAAGCTGGAGCTTAAACCAAAATTGGAGTAAGAGCATTTCATGCRCAGTCCTCTTTTCTTGCATTGCCTTAATGATGCCAGCAAGAAGCTTTTGTGCATCCCGCTTCCTGGCATCCAGCTCTTCTATTTATTTCATAGGCCTCTCAGGCATTTAACTGGTGGTTGTGAACCAAGAGCTAAGTGCACTAGCACTTCGACAGGGAGATGCTCAGCAGAATTATGTTTTCACTACACAGCAATGCTTGGGAATGAAATTTCTATTCTTTGATGAGCAGCAAATGCAAATATCATGCTTGCTTTCAGGCTTGATGCTTTCGGGCCTAAGCATTAGGAAACACTGCATCATAATCATAAAAAAATCTCAAGACCCTCATTCTTATACTGAAAAAGGAATTAAGGAGAATATCCTTGTTCTTAAGATGAAATAATAGAAAGTGTGTTTGCAGATCTTACTCACCTGAACACAGACAGTGTTGAGGTGTTTGCTGCAGTATTTAAGGCACAGGAAAATCTGTCCCTACACTTAAGAAACTTGGCCCAACTTTTACAGACCTCCTTCTGAATATAGTTAGCTGATAGCAAGACAACCTTCACATATATTTTACAAGCAGAGACCCAATGGCCAGCTGTGCACAGCTGCTTGCAGCAGCACCTTGCTTAAGTGTGGAGAACTGCATGACAAATGAAGGCTGCATGAACATGAAAACAATCAATACCTATCTATCAGATCTGACATCTCATGAGGTGAACTGGAGACTCAAACCCTTTGGTCCCCTTCTGCTGGCCTTCCCTGCAGTCCTGAGCACCCTCTGGGCCCAGCTGTCAGGTCACATTTGGCAGCAGGTCCCTGTTGCTGTTCTGTGCCTCCCAAAGTGGCCAAGGCAGCAGCAGTCAATGCATATGTGATGTACTGCCTCGCAATAGCTGCTAAATTCCTCCCTAGAAGGAGAATGACGGGGGCTCATGGAGTTTGTGGAACCTTCCCCTGCAGCTCCCATCTCATAACCTGACTCACAGCTGAGCCCATCCCCAGGCATGTCTCCTAAGCTGCATGCCCTGCGACTCCCACAATCTGCAGGAGACACTCTAATTTCAAAAGCCAAAAACCACAACAAATCTGAGTCAGAGCACGCTTACCCCTTCTTAATTTTTACTTAATTTTCACCCCTTCTTAATTTTTTTACTTTGCAGTTTCCTAGCCTAGCCTGTCAGAGAAGCCATCAGATTTTTACCTTGGAATGTCTTTCTTGTAAGCACACGGTTTTAAGAGATATGAGAGTTACGGCCAAGATTCTAGCAACCAAATTCTTAACCACAAATCCAAAGTAAACTCTCCTTCTATGGCTTACTATCACTAGTTCAAAACTTATACTATTCCCACATTATTCTTGTTGCAGTGCTGGGGCCTGCTACCATGATGCCACTCACAATTTGCTCCATACTGCTGCAGAGCTGGAGTTCCAGCRTGGCAAGAAGCCTTAGAAGGAAGCCTCCCTCTGAGTCAGGAACTGCAACAATCTTCTGTAATTACTGCAGAGGGGTGGGGGGGAGCACTGAGTCACTTGAAACACTACGGCARATCAAGAACTACCTGTTATTTAAACCTACATGCTAGACGTTATCTAGTATTCAGGAGAATCGTAACACGTTTACTCAGGCTGCTTTCAACAGCAGCTGCATCTGTACAGGTGAGCTACTCACCCTCACTSTGCACTGATCTGAAATTTCTTTATTAACACAGTAAAAGGCAGCAGTGTTAAAAGGGAGGATGCACAAAAGAACAGGTAGGAGTATTTCAGGTTGTGGGAATTCATATAAAATGGATGCAGCTGTTTCAAAAGCCAGTGTTCTTCTTATAACTGAAAGGGCTGTGACCCTGCATGCAGGCAGCATTAAAGCAGCCGTAGGAAGATTCAGGTGTATGACTGAGGTTTAGGGCTAAGGGCTAATTTTAGATGGCCTAAATCCAGCACTCAGTATGACAGCAACAGTGACAATGAGGAGCAGGCTCCCAATACACCGCTCTGCACTAGCAGCAATCTGATGCCACAATGTGACGGCTGTAGGGACTCATGATATCYCATTGTCACTGATGATAACCCTTGTCCCCGAAGACTGCAGGTTAAATTCAGTTTTGCTCCCTGTCCCTCCACACACTCACCCGTCCCTCACACCAGGGTGCCAGAGCATGGCTGAGGTTCTCCCTAAAACAGGCAAAGCACCCTGTGGAMATCTCCAGCAGACACCACCAAGCAAGCCTGGCAGATGAGAGGATGCATCCCAGACAGCCCAGGCAGGCTCACCTCCCCGCTGCCTCATTAACTCCACTGGAGCTCCTCAAGTGAAGTGAACAGGATCAGAGAACATGGAGACAGCTCCATGCCCTGCCTGCTCAGCTCTTCAAGGAAACACTTTGGCTACCAGGAAGAGCACTCATTCCATGTTCCCTGAGAGGCCAGCTKGTCCACAAGCCACTCTCCAGGTCAGGCCCAGCAGAACTGATTTTTCCAGGTACTGCAGGGAAGCCATGAAGTCCCACCTAAGTTGCTCGGAATTTTTATGGCTTTCACTTTGCTTAGTCCCACAGACTGTCATTAGCTAATTACACATCCATCAGTCCTCTTCACAGAGGATTAAAATTCCTATTGTAATKACAAGTGAGTTGCCAATAGGTTAGATGGAAAATAAATCATCTTGGATGTATGTGTTGTGCAGGGGAAGAGGGAGTCACTGAAGAATGAGYTAGTGACAAAGAGGAAAGACCATTTCATATTTGGTTATGTGAACAAAAGTGATCAGAAATTAAAGTAAATGAAAAGTTTCTGAAAAACAATGGAACCTCATATAAATAAAATACACAGTTAAGCATTCAAATCTTCCCTTTCATGCTCACAAACACAAATTACGTGTTCAGGAAAGCATCTCAAACAAAGCAAGAAATGTGYCACTGAAACTGTAGTGCAACACCTYAAATMCTWAAAAAARCCTCCACCATACAGCAGTACAGSCTCCATGAGATTTTGTGGAMCAYGGWTAAACACAACTCAGGGGCATTCTAATCCAGAGAAATATACTGATATTTATATAAATAGTCTGAATCCTGCACCAATGTGAATCAGTGGCAAGGAAGGGTCAATCTTGCCCTGTTGTGCGTAAACACTGAGGAACTCTAAAGATCCAYTTTTTTTGCCAACTTCTATCAGTCACATACACGCACACACACGCAGATCACACACACCTTTCACACTACACAGGATTTCCTGGAAATTGGACATCTTTCCTCAAATTGTATGCTCCTCGTAAGAAGACTCATACTTCCCTGGCTCTGACCCTAACGGCGCTTATGACACAGGATAAGGCAGGAACAAATGTGAATGAGCTACGGAGGGTCAGCCCTATGGGTGGGTAAATTACAGTCATCAGGACCACAGCTTGCCAAGCACTCAGACCTGTCAGCRTTTCCTTTTCACTCATCTGCCTGTGGACACTTTTGCTTTGTCTCTGGGAGGTGACAAAGCTAAGCTTTGTGCTTTCATGCAGCACTGAAACATCTCAACATCATCCRTAAGCAAGAAAACATCAGAGCGTGCTCAAAGCAGAAGGGGCTGAGAAGGATGAGTACAAACAGAAACTCTAACACGAAAGCATGGAGATTTTGAGTGAAATATGAAAACTAGAACAAAAGCATTAGAGAAAGGAATGCAGAACTCGTCTGCCTTTAGGGCCTCATGACACCACAGTGTCTGATGTCTAGCCTTGAAAATAACTTCCTAACAGCCRTGCCTGCTTCTAGACAGGTATCCATTGCAAATCGTGGCATTAGTCCTAAGGTGGAAATTACTAACTCGCTGCAACGGGGGTGGAAGAGAGTCGGGTGGGTGTGAGGCAGACAGCCAAGGTCTCCACAGAGGYAGCAAAAATCGATGCAACTTAGGGCTGAAACTTTCCCTACAAGCAGGAATTTAAAGGTAACATCCTTGTTACCGTCACACAAAGGCTCACTTGAGTCTGCCCAGCTGCCTCAAACCTTGGCTACTACCCAAGAACAGAAGTTACTCTGTACACRCCATAGAGCAAACAAGCCAGGCAGTCTCCTGAGCTGCAACATCAGAAGGATATTGTTGGTGTGCCTGCAAACAACTCAGTGTATTTAGGTAAAAAAAGTGTCTGTGACTTTCACCACTTAGA